CATGACATAAGTATTTGATACATCAGAAAAGCAGAACTTAATATTTGGTACAGAAACCTTTGTTTGCAATTACAGAGATCATACGTTTCCTGTACGTCTTGACCAGGTTTGCACACACTGCTGCAGGGATTTTGGCCCACTCCTCCATACAGACCTTCTCCAGATCCTTCAGGTTTCGGGGCTGTCGCTGGGCAATACGGACTTTCAGCTCCCTCCAAAGATTTTCTATTGGGTTCAGGTCTGGAGACTGGCTAGGCCACTACAGGACCTTGAGATGCTTCTTACGGAGCCACTCCTTAGTTGCCCTGGCTGTGTGTTTCGGGTCGTTGTCATGCTGGAAGACCCAGCCACGACCCATTTTCAATGCTCTTACTGAGGGAAGGAGGTTGTTGGCCAAGATCTCGCGATACATGGCCCCATCCATCCTCCCCTCAATACGGTGCAGTCGTGCTGTCCCCTTTGCAGAAAAGCATCCCCAAAGAATGATTTTTCCACCTCCATGCTTCATGGTTGGGATGGTGTTCTTGGGGTTGTACTCATCCTTCTTCTTCCTCCAAACACGGCGAGTGGAGTTTAGACCAAAAAGCTCTATTTTTGTCTCATCAGAACACATGACCTTCTCCCATTCCTCCTCTGCATGCGCTGGCTTGAGCAGGGGGACCTTGCGTGCGCTGCAGGATTTTAATCCATGACGGCGTAGTGTGTTACTAATGGTTTTCTTTGAGACTGTGGTCCCAGCTCTCTTCAGGTCATTGACCAGGTCCTGCCGTGTAGTTCTGGGCTGATCCCTCACTTTCCTCATGATCATTGATGCCCCACGAGGTGAGATCTTGCATGGAGCCCCAGATCGAGGGTGATTGACCGTCATCTTGAACTTCTTCCATTTTCTAATAATTGCGCCAACAGTTGTTGCCTTCTCACCAAGCTGCTTGCCTATTGTCCTGTAGCCCATCCCAGCCATGTGCAGGTCTACAATTTTTTTCCTGATGTCCTTACACAGCTCTCTGGTCTTGGCCATTGTGGAGAGGTTGGAGTCTGTTTGATTGAGTGTGTGGACAGGTGTCTTTTATACAGGTAACGAGTGGAGAACAGGAGGGCTTCTTAAAGAAAAACGAACAGGTCTGTGAGAGCCGGAATCCTTAATGGTTGGTAGGTGATCAAATACTTATGTCATGCAATAAAATGCAAATGAATTACTTAAAAATCATACAATGTGATTTTCTGGATTTTTGTTTTAGATTCCGTCTCTCACAGTTGAAGTGTACCTATGATAAAAATTACAGACCTCTACATGCTTTGTAAGTAGGAAAACCTGCAAAATCGGCAGTGTATCAAATACTTGTTCTCCCCACTGTATTTACTTAGTGAATAATACTTGTTTATTTGCTGCCCCTCAATCTAATGTATAGTGTCAAAGATGCGAGAAAATCACATTCAAAGTATGTATGATCTTAAAATAGAGAGAGATATGAGTAACAAAGAGTAGAATCTAACAGTCTAAATATGACATTCTTTGTGCGTCCTCTCTTTCACTTCATCTTTTTGATATGTCACTATAAGTCTACAACATTGAGTGTTTGAATCGCATCTGATGACAAGTAAATAAAAGCCTGGAGGAAAGAATCCTTTGAATATGCCATTTCAAAGCAGGGGTAGTTGGTTATCCCTTGCATTTTACAGTTTGGAGTATCTTTGATGATTATTGTTGTTCGTTCATACATGAGCAGAGTCAAGAGGAGATGCTTCTTTCAATTCAACTTGTTGCACTGATGGTATTAAAGAGACCAATTCAATATGACAAGCTACTACTATGTTATGCATAGCTAACATTCTGGGTATGATGCATGTAGCTATCCAATCCCTAATATTAAGTTTTTAAATGTTTTTTCTTGTATGTTTTTGGAAAAACAGGATGTACATTTACTGCAGTTGTATAGTTTTACAAATAACTCTCAAAGTTCCTGCACTGCAGCCATTTCCTTTTCATTATTATTGCTGTGGCCGACTAAATACTGTAGTAGACAGCCACGGTCTCCTTCCTGCCTTCAGATGCTTCTCCACATACAGAGAACAATCTGGCTATTCAGACAGACAACACTTTCTTCCCTGCTAGCTACTTTGAGCTCCTTATTCGCCTTGCACAAATACTTGTGAGTTGTTGAATATTTTGTATGGTATAGCTCTATTCTGATGCATTTGGAGCAGCACAAGGCCTATTGACTTGAATAACGGATAGGCCTATTTGGGGTGGGCCTATTTGGGATAGTTAGTTTAGCTGATGTGTTGAGACACTTTTGAGGGAGGTATCAGTCAAACTGATACTGATGTAACTACACTGAACAGAAATATAAATGCAACATGTTAAGTGTTGGTCCAATGTTTCATGAGCTGAAATAAAAGATCATCAAATGTTTCATACCCACAAAAAGCTTATTTTGCTCAAATATGTTTACATCCCTGTTAGTGAACATTTCTCCTTTGCCAAGATAATCCATCCACCTGACAGGTCTGGCATATCAAGAAGCTGATTAAACAGCATGATCATTACACAGGTGCACCTTGTGCTGGGGACAATAAAAGGCCTCTACAAAATGTGCAGTTTTGTCATACAACACAATGCCACAGATTTTGAGGGAGCGTGCAATTGGCATGCTGACTGCAGGAACATCCACCAGAGCAGTTGCCAGATAATTAAATGTTAATTTCTCTACCATAAGCCACCTCCAACATCGTTTGAGAGAATTTGGCAGCACGTCCAACCGGCCTCACAACCTTCACATCCGGCTTCTTCACCTGCGGGATCATCTGAGACCAGCCACCCAGACAGCTGATGAAACTGTGGGTTTGCACAACCGAAGGATTTCTGCACAAACTGTCAGAAACCGTCTCAGGGAAGCTCATCTGCGTGCTCGTCGTCCTCACCAGGGTCTTGACCTGACTGCAGTTCGGAGTCATAACCTACCTTAGTGGGCAAATGCTCACCTTCGATGGACACTGGCATGCTGGAGAAGTGTGCTCTTCATGGATGAATCCCGATTTCAACTGTACCGGGCAGATGACAGACAGTGTGTATGGCGTTGTGTGGGCGAGCGGTTTGCTGATGGGGTTATGGTATGGGCAGGAATAAGCTACGGACAACTAACACAATTGCATTTTATCGATGGGAATTTGAATGCACAGAGATACCGTGACTAGAACATGAGGCCAATTGTCATGCCATTCATCTGCTGCCATCACCTCATGTTTCAGCATGATAATGCACAGCCCCATGTTGCAAGGATCTGTACACAATTCCTGGAAGCTGAAAATGTCCCAGTTCTTCCATGGCCTGCATACTCAGAAATGTCACCCATTGAGCATGTTTGGGATGCTCTGGATTGACGTGTACGACAGCGTGTTCCAGTTCCCGCCAATTTCCATCAACTTCGCACAGCCATTGAAGAGGAGTGGAACAACATTCCATAGTCCACAACCAACAGCCTGATCAACTCTATCCGAAGGAGATGTGTCGCGCTGCATGAGACAAATGGTGGTCCACACCAGATACTGACTGGTTTTCTGCTTCACACCCCTACTTCTTTTTTAAAGGTACAGTATTTGTAACCAACAGATGCATATCTGTATTCCCAGTCATGTGAAATCCATAGATTAGGGCCTAATGAATTTATTTCAATTGACTGATTTCTTTATATGAACAGTAACTAAAATATTTGAAGTTGTTGCATGTTGCATTCATATTTTTGTTCAGTGTAGTTTGAGTACAATCCTAAACCGCTGACAGTTAACATGGCAATGCTAAAATCCAATTGTGCCTGATGAGAGCGACTCCCAGCAGCTCCGTGCTCAGAGGGGGGTCGTAAACATTTACACTAAGAGCCTGTCCAGTGCACATGGTTGGTGGGTGCCAGGCCACCTCGGTATCATCGAATGCTGTGTTGCGTCGCATATTTTCTCATTCAGGCCCGTCCCGAAAAAATTGTAGGAATCACACCATCAATTTATGAAGAAGCTGTCCAAATGTGACAACAGGCTTATGCTTAATGGAGAAAATAGAGCTAAACATTGTTAAAACACCCCTAGACACACATGGTTTGTGAGAGCTGCGATGCACCCTACTGTGATCTGGGAAAGTGATGTTGGTGCGCTTCCTCCTCCATGAGGGCCGCACCGTTCTTCCTGATTTGAAGCCTTTTTGAAGTCTGTTTCCTGCCATAGCATGCCAACACTACAACCACATTAGCTAATGCTTTCCACAAAATCAGAAATTCTAAATCAAATAAGAATACTTTTTTTATAGCTTGTGTGAACTTATATGGATTTCCAAACCAATTACTTCTGAAACAACTGTTATTCTAAAAATGTTACACATTTTCTTTTGTCTATTTGTACATTTTCAACTGCGCATACTGGGGGGGGGGGGGGTTAGATATACCATTCCATTAAAATAAATCAATAGCAATAAAGAGCCTTTTTCTTTGGTCTCTTAACAATCAATGCTTTTGGTGTAGTACAATGAAAATCTCTAATTAAATGTTCTTAGATAGTGAGCATTGATATTGGCCTTCTATATTTCCTGACGAGCCAACAAGCCTGGTTTTTAAACAGGCAGGTGGTCACGGAGTGTATTGAATGACTTGATTGTCCTTGAACTACAGAAGCAGCATTTACTTCCTATGTCTTTCCTTAACAGCATTCCAAAGGCAGGCTCAGCTCAGTGACATGATTTACATAAATGAGTGTCCACAGCAATCCCCATATGCAGGTCATTGAGGTATATTAGATATGATATTCTCTCGAATGCTGCACTTTGAGGTGTTGCTCATCGTGTTAAATGAATGTGTCATACTTTTATGAAACATATTTTAAAACTATTTTCCATATCTGTCCTGTCTTTGCATCTTATATTTTGTGTGTGTATATTTTGTAAACCACCAATGATTTTTATGGGCAAGTATTTCAGTTGTGTAACTGCTATGTAGAAATCACGACGTGCAGGAAAGTTATTTGGGATCAATCCTTTATTGTTTCAAAACTCTAAATTATTTTACAATACAGTCCTTTATTGTTACTTCTGTGATTTGAATGATGGGTAATGTACAATGTCATCCAATAATGAAACACAGTCACAAACAAAGTATTCCTTTCTACATATTAATATTCTATGATAGCGGGAAGTTTTGTGCTGTTAGTTCTTTTTTTCTGTATTTATTTAATTTGATAGCACAATTCCTTCCCTTTTGAATGAACAAAAAGCATTGTTTTTTGAAAGTGCATTGTCAATGATTGCAATGACGACCGCTTTCGTCAGTCGGCCAAAATGTACATTTCAGTATTAACTGAGGGTCATACTGCGTTGTGAGTAACAAACAGCATTGACTACTTTTCCAACTACAACATTTATCGGGATAAGTAAAATCAAAGAAAATATATCAATATGCATGCCATGAACATTGATCCATAAACATTTACAATAAATGTATATTTTCATTTGAATTATGTTGCTGATAATGATACAGTTTTTCCACAAAGAGGACAAATGCTGATAATGAATGAGAACTAAATATATAAACATCCAAATACTTTTGTTCAATTTACACACAGGTATTAATGCTTTCTGCCAGTGTTTAGGGCCATGCCCTAATAAAGAAATAGCGTTTGGTCCACAACAACAAATCATCTGGATTAGAAAGAAAGAGGGGGTTGATGGGATGTTGAACTGAAGGCCAAAATAATAACATGATTATGATCTTTCTTTTCATTTTCAAGTTGATAAGAGATTTATGAATTATGTATGATGTGGGTGTTTAAAACTTTATGCAATATAAATATACATTTTAGCTCATAACTTGGCTATATTATACTTTCTTGTTCCACGGAACAGCTTTCACTCTGTAGAACTTGGTGCCCAAAGGAACTTTGAACCGGTTTTGAGCCTAAGGTGGGAAACATTCACAACATACATGCTCTTAGAAAGTCACCCTTTGATTGTTGATTATTTGATTTGATTTTAATTATTGATTATTTTACCTCCTTTAATGACCATCTATTTAAAGAAAATCTACTGAGCTCTACTACTAGACTATTACAATTACTATTACAATTCATTACCTATATACTACTATACATTACCTTTTTCGCCTGGCAATATTCTTTCTCCATCACTTTTCCAAGAACCCACGGCCGTCTTGAGGCTCCTGATGCTGAAGTAAACATAGGATCTGTCAGTGATCGACACAATAAAATCAATGCTCAGTACACAAACTTTGACATGGGTTACTCAAAATCACTTATACAAAACTTGCTCTACAAAACATCATTACACAATAACTTTGTATAATTGTCTATTATATATTGTATACAACTTTATACTCATGCAACAAAAGTTAAATTGTACATAACTTTGTATATTATAACTTTATTCTATAATAACTTCGCTACATATTGGTTTTTAAGTATTGAGGCCTACAATTATAAGGCGATGGTGATTGTCTGACCTGGTTTGAGGTCCAGTGCAGTGAGGGACTCAGAGTGGAGGAAGTACAGGGTGGGACCCACGGTGAATAGCACATAGTTGTCATGCCTTTCATCTAGGATGATCAGAACCAAGTCAGCGACCTGGAAACTGAAACGGACACAGGGGTCAACCTTCACACAAAATGGTGCTAGATTCTATATACAACAACAAAAAATGAAACAGATATTAAGAGACAAAAATGAATTAAAATATACAAATAAAATGCTTTGATTTGGTAGAGAAAACTCATTAATTTTTTACAAAGGAGAAAACGTACAACCACTGCATCTATATACACTATACATCAGCACTTTATGTGGCAATCTTTGTATGCTTACTCTCTGATGGCAATTTTCTCTGAATGTCGTGACGACACTGAGGACATGCTTTGAGACATCTACAAAGAGAGAAAGGTAATGGTTGTTAAGAGTGAGTTGATAATCTTTTTGACACTGCTGGTCATGGATGCTTTCCTGGTCTGACTGATCTTTGCATAGCAGCCATCAATAGTACCGTATGTTGTGTGGCGTGAAATGTATTTGCTGGAATGTATACATTTTTGGCATACATTGTTATGCTTTTGTTTAGGTATGTCAGCAATAGCGCTGCAATATGTCAAACTGCCTGTATGATCGTTTTGATTCCCCTTTATCAGAAGGCTTTTGATAGAGGAAGTTACTGTTGTAGCTCAGAAAGCTCTGCTGAACAGGGATAGAAGCATTGATGCTATTGCCATCTAGTGGTGGTGGGGTAAAATAGCTTGGGGTACACTGACAAAGCCTGTCAATAGCGAAATGAATTATAACTGGTTATACACTGAGTGTATAAAACATTAGGAACACCTTCCTAATATTGAGTTGCACCCCCCGTTAGCCCTCAGAACAGTCTCAATTCGTCAGGGCATGGACTCTACAAGGTGTCGAAAGCTTTCCACAGGGATGCTGGCACATGTTGACTCCAATGCTTCCCACAGTTGTGTCAAGTTGGCTGGTAGTGGATTTGTAATCCAAATACTTTGTTCAATCTCATCCCACAGATGCTCAATTGAATTGAGATCTGGTGACTGGGGAGCCACTGCAGTAAGCTGAATTCACTTTTATGTTCGTGGAAACATTCCTGTACAATCCTAGCGTTGTGGCATGGGGCATTATCCTGCTAAAAAAACAATTAGCAGATGGATACACTACTGCCATGAAGGGATGCACCAGATTATCAATGTTGTTCAGATATCCTGTGGCTTTCAAACTTTTATCAAGGGGCCCAATGTGTGCCATGAAAACACACCATCACACCCCCACCACCAGCCTGCAATGTTGACACACGGCATGAGGAATGCATGTACTCGTGGTTTTCTCCATACCCTAGTCCTTCCATCAGCGTGTCCAGTGATTGGCTGAGAGAAATTGATGATAAAAGATTGTGAGGGCTGTTTTGTTAAACTTCAGTGCGGCTTTTAACATTATCGATCATAGTCTGCTGCTGGAAAAACGTATGTGTTATGGCTTTACACCTCCTGCTATATTGTGGATAAAGAGTTACCTGTCTAACAGAACATAGAGGGTGTTCTTTAATGGAAGCCTCTCCAACATAATCCAGGTAGAATCAGGAATTCCCCAGGGCAGCTGTCTAGGCCCCTTACTTTTTTCAATCTTTACTAATGACATGCCACTGGCTTTGAGTAAAGCCAGTGTGTCTATGTATGAGGATTACTCAACACTATACACGTCAGCTACTACAGCAATTGAAATGACTGCAACACTTAACAAAGAGCTGCAGTTAGTTTCAGAGTGGGTGGCAAGGAATAAGTTAGTCCGAAATATTTCAAAAACTAAAAGCATTGTATTTGAGACAAATCATTCACTAAACCTCAACTAAATCTTGCAATATATAATGTGGAAATTGAGCAAGTTGAGGTGACTAAACTGCTTGGAGTAACCCTGGATTGTAAACTGTCATGGTCAAAACATATTTATACAACAATAGCTAAGATGGGGAGAAGTCTGTCCATAATAAAGCGCTGCTCTACCTTCTTAACAGCACTATCAACAAGGCAGGTCCTACAGGCCCTAGTTTTGTCGCACCTGAACTACTGTTCAGTCGTGTGGCTCAGGTGCAACAAAAAGGGACTTAGGAAAATTGCAATTGTACACAGAGAGCTAACTATAATATGCATGTCAAACTCTCCTGGCTCAAAGTGGAGGAGAGTGACTTCTTCACTACTTGTATTTCTGAGAGGTATTGACATGTTGAATGCACTGAGCTGTCTATTTGAACTACTGGACACCCATGCATACCCCACAAGACATGCCACAAGAGGTCTCTTCACAATCTCCAAGTCCAGAACAGACTATGGGAGGCGCACAGTACTACATAGAGCCATGACTACATGGAACTCTATTCCACATCAAGTAACAGATGCAAGCAGTAAAATGTGACTTTAAAAAACGGATAAAAATACACCTTATGGAACAGCAGGGACTGTGACGCAACACAAACATAGGCACAGACATGCATATACGCACACGTACACATGGATTTTGTATTGTAGATATGTGGTAGTGGTGCAGTAGGGGCCTGAGGGCACACAGTGTGTTGTGAAATCTGTGAATGTATTGTAATGTTTTCGATATTGTATAACTGCCTTAATTTTGCTGGACCCCAGGAAGAGTAGCTAACGCGGACCCATAATAAATACAAATAGTGTTTTTGTTCCTTAGCCCACTGCAACCGTAGTTTATTGTTTTTTGCTGAAAGAAGTGGAACTCTAAGGTCATCAGCTGCCATACCCCATTCATGTCAAGGTACGACGAGTTGTGAATTATTTTGTGGGTCTTTGGGCACCAATGTTGTACTGGACTGTCAATTGACTAACTGTAGCACGTCTGTTGCGCTGCACAATTCGTGACAGCCTCCTTTGTCCTCTTTCATCAATGGCCCGTTTTTAACCACTGGCCTGCCGTTGGCTGGATGTCCTTTGGGTGGTGGACCATTCTTGATACACACAGGAAACTGTTGAGCTTGAAAAACCCAGAAGCGTTGCAGTTCTGACACACTCAAACCAGTGCACTTGGCACCTACTACCATAGCCCCTTCAAAGGCACTTCAATATTTTGTCTTGCCACCCTCTGAAAAGCACACATACACAATTAATATCTCAATTGTCTCAAGGCTTAAAAATCATTATTTAACCGTTCTCCTCTCCTTTATCTACACGGATTGAAGTGGATTTAACAGGTGACATCAATAGGGATCATAGCTTTCACCTGGATTCACCTGGTCAGTCTGTCATGGAAAGAGCAGGTGTTCCTAATGTTTTATACACTCAGTGTATATCTGTAAGTAAACAATACACATGGAAACCATGTGAAAAATGAATGTAAAAAAAAATAAAAGAATGTGATTTGTTTTTGGGCTAGAATAGTTGGCTTAAACAATCACATGATATTAATAGCAACATTTCCTCATCCTCTAATCAGCCATCAAAGTTAATAAAACATACCAGTCTTTGACTGAGGCGCTTGTTTTCTTCTTCCTTCATATGTAAAGTCTGAAATATGACGGGAAGATGTTACAACAAACAACTCAAGTGAAATTCTAGAACAATCCAACCCCAACTTCATCAGGTTCCATTTAGATGTCACAGAGGTGTCTACTCACCCTCTCAAGTAACAGTATCCGCTGTTTCTCCTCCGACATCATCAGGATGTTATCGCTAATAAAGAAACAAAGGACCAATAATCAGATCACTTTGGCGACAGCTTTTAACACATTTGAGAATCATTCAAAGAAATAGTTACTATGAAATAAAAAGATTCAACAAGCATGAATATGAATTTGAAGTTACTTCTGTTTGAGATTGCAATGATTGTTAGCCTGCATAAATGTAGTTAACAGAAAAAACTACAGAAAAAACATAACTTACATTTCCCAATCCTAGCCTCCCTCGCTCTCTCTTTGTTATTTGTCCATCCTTGTCTGGCCATCTCAAACAAGCACTTTCAACATTCTTCTTAATCTTTTACACATTAAAACTGACAACATTATTCGTTGACAGCTTACAACTTCTATTCATAAATTGGTCTAATACTTTATCTTCATTATCCAATAAGGAGGACCTTCAAAGGCCTCATGGTCCTCAGTTCCACCAAATAAGTCTCCATACTATATATAATTTGACAAGTTTAAACAAGTATATCTGTCAAAGTTTATTTCTATAAATGACAGATTCATTGTGATGGGAGGGGGTTCTTTTGAATCACTGTTTATTGGACTGTTTATATTTGGAACGTTTGGGGGATGCTTACTGCACGGTGACCATGCTGGCCTCCACAGCAGAGTCCACTCTGTCGTCCTCTCTGATGGCGGCCACAGATGCCAGTCTGTCTGGGTCAGGGAAGAGCTCTGGGGAGCAGGCTCCAGCCCCAACCTCAACTTCAGTCCCAGGTCCAGGACAGGTCCCAGGTCCAAGTCTAGCCCCGGCTCCAGTGGGCTCCAGGGCTAATGGGTTAGGTCTGTAGTAGGCCGAGGACACCAGGGCTGTGCTGCTCAGCCGGTTCAGCTCCTCCTCCAACTGCTTCTTCTCCTGCATGACGATGGCCCGGTCCTCAGATAGCGTCTCTATCAGACCTGAAGACACACAGTGAACATATCAGGATGAATGAACTGCAGCAAGACTTACTTTCAATACAATCAATCAACATATTACAGGGCCAAATGAACCACTGCAACCAATAACAGCATAGAAAATGCAATCTAGTTCCAGCACATCCAGCCCATTAAATGTTAAAAAGGCAGAAATCATTCTGTTCTCTCATAGTGTCCTAGCTGTACGTGACTATGGTGTACCTTTGTCCTTCTCCTGCTGCTGGCTAACCTTCCGCAGCTCCTCTGTCAGCTCACTGATGATTTGTTCCTTCTTCAGCTTCTCTCTCATCAGAACAGTGTTGAAGTTAGTCTGGGGAGGGAGGACATGAAGGCTTTCAGACACCTCCCAGGCAATAGAGCAGCAGTAAAACACAATGAGGCAGTCACAGAGGACAAAGAACTACCAGAAAGGAGACAGGTGAGGCTCAATTGAGGGTTGAGTCATGGCTCAGACAACAGACCTCAATCAAGCATGCTCGCTTTACCATAAGATCTTAGGCTAGGAGGATCACAGGATTTTAGGCTGGTAGCATAACCTATGACAATAAAAATGTATAGAAATAGTAACATTCCGTATTAAATTTGTGTATTTGTGGTGCAGGTTTAAATTTCAAAGGCCAAACAGTAAGTTCAAACGAATGTTAACTCCCAACAATGTGGTTTAACCACATTCCTCTAAGAGGGTCACATAGTCACCAGTATCATATTCCCATTTGGACTGCTCACCAGTAAGACAAGGTCATGATAACACTGTGTGCTATAGTTATAACACACAAACTGCCTCACATACCTGCTTTCATTTAGGGGCTGACTAAGGCTGCCACATAGGCACATAGTGGTAGTAGTAGTGAGGTAATGGAGTATTTTTAGCATTTCAGGTGTTGGTCACTTGTAGTCAGTTTGTTTGTTTGCAGTTGCCAGTGAATCACAATTAGACCTACTTAGAAGAAAGGTAACAGGGGACAAATGCTAAAAAGCTCAAACATTTAGCTAAACAATTAGCTAAAAGCTAAAAAAAAATGTAGGCAAACTAACTACATAGTATAGGATTTACAATGTAGTGTATCTAGATATGGTGCCGCTACTAGATTCAGTGCTGGTCAATATTGACAGAAGAACCCTCTGAATAGGTGTGGAGGACTAGTCTAATAAAAAGCATGAGCTGGCGCACACCCATAGAACATGATTTAGTGTAGAGGTGCTGACTAAAGAGGAATAAACTGTAAGCTATGAAAACAAAAAGAGTATAACCTACCAGTCATTTATTGGTCTAACACTAACCTGTTGTTCTGCGATGAGCGAGGTCTTGAGGTTCTGCATCTCCTCGTTCTTCCTCCTCTCCAGGAGCTCCATTTGGATGTGCAGGGAGGCTGTCTCCTGCTGCAGACGCTCCTGCAAGGCAGAGTCCAGGGAGAGAGGAGCTCCTGTTTCGGACCCCCGACCCTCTGTCTGCACCTTCGACAACCCTGCCTCTCTGTAGCACACACAGAGAGATAGAAAGAGACATACAGTTGAAGTCGGAAGTTTACATACACCTTTGCCAAATACATTTCAACTCAGTTTTTCCACAATTCCTGACATTTAATCCTAGTAGAAATTCCCTGTCTTAGGTCAGTTGGATCACCACTTTATTTTAAGAATGTGAAATGTCAGAATAAGTGTAGAGAGAATGATTTATTTCAGGTTTTATATCTTTCGTCACATTCCCAGTGGGTCAGAAGTTTACATACACTCAATTAGTATTTGGTAGCACTGCCTTTAAATTGTTTACCTTGGGTCAAACGTTTCGGGTAGCCTTCCACAAGCTTCCCACAATAAGTTGGGTGAATTTTGACAGAGCTGGTGTAACTGAGTCAGGTTTGTAGGCCTCCTTGCTCGCACACGCTTTTTCAGTTCTGCCCACAGATTTTCTATAGGATTGAGGTCAGGGCTTTGTGATGACCACTCCAATACCTTGACTTTGTTGTCCTTAAGCCATTTTGCCACAACTTTGGAAGTATGCTTGGGGTCATTGTCCATTTGGAAGACCCATTTGCGACCAAGCTTTAACTTCCTGACTGATGTCTTGAGATGTTGCTTCAATATATCCACATAATTTTCCTTCCTCATGATGCCATCTATTTTGTGAAGTGCACCAGTCCCTCCTGCAGCAAAGCAACCCCACAGCATGATGCTGCCACCCCCGTGCTTCACGGTAGGGATGGTGTTCTTCGGCTTGCATGCGACCCCCTTTTTCCTCCAAACATACTCATGGTCATTATGGCCAAACAGTTCTATTTTTGTTTCATCAGACCAGAGAACATTTCTCCAAAAAGTAGCTTCTAAAGCCATGACATCATTTTCTGGAATTTTCCAAGCTGTTTAAAGGCACAGTCAACTTAGTGTATGTAAACTTCTGACCCACTGGAATTGTGGTACAGTTAATTATAAGTGAAATAATCTGTCTGTTAACAATTGTTGAAAAATTACTTGTGTCATGCACAATGTAGATGTCCTAACCGACTTGCCAAAACTATAGTTTGTTAACAAGAAATGTGTGGAGTGGTTGAAAAACGAGTTTTAATGACTCCAACCTAAGTGTAAGTAAACTTCTGACTTCAACTGTAAGTAACAGCGAGACAAGTCACACACAGTAGACATCAGGCAGGTCAATAGGTCAAATTAAATACTATTCATGATTTAGTTTAGGTTTGATTATTTGGCTAAGAAAGTTCCTAGTGTTTTTTTGTCTTGTCTCAGTGCCGGTCATTTTATGTTCCCTTTAATCCCTTAGGCAACATGTCAAAAACATCGGACCACATACAATCTTGACACAGCATGCAGTACACGTTATTGTTTCCCTAAGCGTTCACCTCTGGGCCTTTTTCAGCATGTAAAGCCTAAATACAGCTCAGTATAAAAGACACCTGTCCACAACCTCAAACAGTCACACTCCAAACTCCACTATGGCCAAGACCAAAGAGCTGTCAAAGGACACCAGAAACAAAATTGTAGACCTGCACCAGGCTGGGAAGACTGAATCTGCAATAGGTAAGCAGCTTGGTTTGAAGAAATCAACTGTGGGAGCAATTATTAGGAAATTGAAGACATACAAGACCACTGATAATCTCCCTCAATCTGGGGCTCCATGCAAGATCTCACCCCGTGGGGTCAAAATGATCACAAGAACGGTGAGCAAAAATCCCAGAACCACACGGGGGGACCTAGTGAATGACCTGCAGAGAGCTGGGACCAAAGTAACAAAGCCTACCATCAGTAACACACTACGCCGCCAGGGACTAAAACCCTGCAGTGCCAGACGTGTCCCCCTGCTTAAGCCAGTACATGTCCAGGCCCGTCTGAAGTTTGCTAGAGTGCATTTGGATGATCCAGAAGAGGTATGGGAGAATGTCATATGGTCAGATGAAACCAAAATAGAACTTTTTGGTAAAAACTCAACTCGTCGTGTTTGGAGGACAAAGAATGATGAGTTGCAGCCAAAGAACACCATACCTACTGTGAAGCATGGGGGTGGAAACATCATGCTTTGGGGCTGTTTTTCTGCAAAGGGACCAGGACGACTGATCCGTGTAAAGGAAAGAATGAATGGGGCCATGTATCGTGAGATTTTGAGTGAAAACCTCCTTCCATCAGCAAGGGCATTGAAGATGAAACGTGGCTGGGTCTTTCAGCATGACAATGATCCCAAACACACCGCCCGGGCAACGAAGGAGTGGCTTCGTAAGAAGCATTTCAAGGTCCTGGAGTGGCCTAGCCAGTCTCCAGATCTCAACCCCATAGAAAATTTTGGAGGGAGTTGAAAGTCCGTGTTGCCCAGCGACAGCCCCAAAACATCACTGCTCTAGAGGAGATCTGCATGGAGGAATGGGCCAAAATACCAGCAACAGTGTGTGAAAACCTTGTGAAGACTTACAGAAAACGTTTGACCTGTGTCATTGCCAACAAAGGGTATATAACAAAGTATTGAGAAACTTTTGTTATTGACCAAATACTTATTTTCCACCATAATTTGCAAATAAATTCATTAAAAATTCTACAATGTGATTTTCTGGATTTCTTTTTCTCATTTTGTCTGTCATAGTTGACGTGTACCTATGATGAAAATTACAGGCCTCTCTCATCTTTTTAAGTGGGAGAACTTGCACAATTGGTGGCTGACTAAATACTTTTTTTTCCCCACTGTATGTAACGCAAGAAAATACCTATTTTCAATGTATACTAAAGCTAATTGAAGTCAACACAAGTCTGTGTAATCCGAACTCACTTAGGGTCTCAATTTACTGTTGAGAGTTAGAATAATAGAATAGACAAGGTAAAATTTCTAAATTTAGTTGTGCATTAACAGTTTTTCCTCTTATGTTAGTCACTAGCTAGGTTTCCATCCAATTGGCAACAGATTTTCATGAAAATATTCTAAAATCCGCATAAAGAAAACTGTTTTGCTTAAGTTTTGAAGTACCGGATAAAATAAAAAAGTTCAATGTGTTTCCATCGTATTTTAAACTATACCAATAGTTTTGTCACAAAAACTTTTGAGTTATATAGCAAATGTGCCTACTCTGGTCTTGGTATGTGCGCTCTAGCAACAGCTGGCAGATACAGTGCGGGTAGGCTAGTCTACTTGTTGAGATTATTATTGATAAGGGCGAGAATATTTGTATTTGTCAAATGGCAGTCAAGCATCCATTATCATGTAATCAGAATAAGACGCTCGATATTTATTAAAAAAGGAGCATCAAGCTCATCACCATGCACTTTCACCACCCTGTAAAGTTCATCATAACTTATTTAATCAGTAGCCTATTAAACTGCATTGTTTCCCAAGTCGTAGTGGGAGGACCACACACCATATCATAGACCCTCCAAGTTTACTTCGATATGATGGTTATTATATCAATATTTGGGCATAAAGGCGTTTCCACTGCCATTGCATAATTAATTTTACACACAAAAAGATCCCACCATGTCGAACAAATAAATTATCTGTCGGCATTTATAAAATTGTACCGAAACTTCCTGTTACCATCACAGTTGACGTGATTTTTATTTTTTTTATACAGTATGACTTCACTCACATTAAAACTGTGGATGGAAACATGGTTAGTGACAGTCACTCAATTAGCCCATGTCAACCAGATAATTTTTTTTAGATTGGTAAATTAGACTAGCCAGCTATCTAAACTTGTATTAATCATGGTCGAATTATCGACCGGGGTCCCCCATTGATTTTGTTAGTCAGTCTCACTCAGATATCATATAAAAAAACTGCAAACATTTCTCTCCACCCTATGGCAAAATATGTAGAATTACAGGAAATTAGCTGTAAAACTGCACATTTTTCACTCTGGCGTATGGCGAAATGTGTAGAATTTCAGCAAACGTACAAAATTGTAGGGAATGAACTCTAAAACGAATAAATAGTTATCTTGTTCATTACAAGGCTGATGAAATGTTTATTACAAATCACACTTATCTGTTACCTGGTAGCAGCGGTACGTGCGTCTCTCTTACCTTTCTGAGGATTGTTTTTCCTGAAGCTCATTTTCAAGTTGTCTAATTTTGTCTAGCAGTCTTTTTCTCCATCTCCTCCTTTTGTTGCTCAAAGTCTTTAAAGGCATCTGGTACTGCAGCCTTCAAGGACTCCTCTTTCTCCAAACGTTCCTGGGCTGCTTGGGTGTCCTGCTCTAATCGTTTGGTGAGCAGATCATTTTCCGTCTGCAAATCGCAGATAACAGTCCTCAAGTGTTGCCTCTGCTCCTCAAAACTCCTCTGCTGCACTTCCTTATCGTCACGCAGCGCTGCCGTCTGCTGGTGGAGGTCTTGTTGGAGGTTCTGCAGCTGTTCTGCGCAGCTCCTCCCTGCGTCCTGTGCCTGCTGCTGCAGGGCGGTCAGCTCGCTGCGGAGCTTGTTCCTCTCTTCCTCGTGCCTGCCCACCAGCTCCGAGATGCACTGGTCTTTCTCTATGCGCATCAGCGTCCGGAGCTCGGCAAGGCCCGTCTCGTACTCTTCGTTCTTGGCCTGCAGCTGCCTGTTGACCTGAACTAGCTGTTCGCTGAGGGACTGGGTCTCTGCCTCTACAGTGGCCTTCCCCACGTTGGCCTCCTGCTGCCCCTGCTTGGCCTCCTCGTAGAGCAGCCTCACCTCCTCCGTCTCTGACTCCTTCAGGGCCAGCTCCACCTCCAGCTTGCAGCGCAGGTCAGCCAGCTCGGCTGCCCAGGCCTCCAGGTCCCTCAGTTGGCCGTCCCTCCCTGTAAGAGTGGCGGCGTGGAGGTCTGTGGCCTTGCTCAGCTTGTCCCTGTTCTCCGTGGCCAGGCGCTCCATGGCCTCCTGGTTCTCCCGGGCCAGGGTGTCTAGCTGGGCCTGGTGCTGCTGCATAATCCTCTCCTCCAGCTCCTGCAGGTGGGACTGCTCTGCCCCCTCCAGCTCCTGGCGGAGCATCTGCTGGCCACGCTCGATCTCAATGTGGAGTGTCTCCAGCTGGCTGGACAGGGAGTCTCTGGAGGCAGCCACGGTCTGCACCTCTTGGGCCTGATCGCTGATCTTCTGCTCCAGGTCCCTGAGCCTCTGAGTGTGTACGCTCTCCGCCTCGGTCCAGCGCTGCCTCTCGGCCTCCAGCTGGGTCAGCTCCTTCTCTTTGCGCTCCAGCAGCCCCTCCAGCTCCAGCATGGCCCGCTGCACGTCTTTCACGGTGTTCCGGTTGACCTGGTTCTCCTCTGTCAGGGCCTGAAGTTGCTTCTCGTGGTCCTGCTGCATAGAGAGGAGCTCGGCCTGGTGCTGCTCCGTCAGCTCCTCCTCCTCCCTCTTACGGATGGTGTCCACCATGTTGCGCACCTCAATGGTCATGGTCTTCAGGGCGAAGCCAAAGTCTCGCTGCTCCTTCAGCACCAGGCCTCTGAAGCAGTACAGGTCATCCTTGACGCTCCGCAGGTTGGTCTGGGAGTCCTCGGCAGCAGATCGGTACTTCTCAATGCTCAGCTTCAGCGTAGCCATCTTGGAGTTTTCCCTCTCTAAGGTGGTGGTGTCATGCATGCGCTTGCTGTCAATGGCATTGATGACCGACGAGTACAGCGACTCTACCATCATCTCTGGGCTGGTGGGGTCGCTGATGGGGGTGGTCGAGTTTTCGATCACAAACTCATTGACCGCCGATAAGAAGTCTGACTCGGGGCTCTCAGCCAGGGAGTCCAGGTCCAGGGAGCCGGCCTGCTGCAGGACGGGGTCCATGTTGGGGTGGCCAATGGTCTCGAAGTCAAAGGTTTGGGCATCGATGCTGTCCGGGGACAGGTCCTCCAGGGCGGTGGGGTCAGGGAGGGGCTGGCAGGGGGGGCCCGGGATACTGAGAGAGGAGGGGGTCTTGGAGGAGGTAGTCCCTGGGGTGCTGTCGGACCGTGGGGTCAACGCTGCCGTGGATCTCTGAGCACTCTGGCTGCACGACCCCTGGAGGAACAGAAATAAGAGGGGGAGTGAGTGGAGAATATGCAATAAAGGGACAGTGTTCACTGTGCTTTTAGATAATTGCCATTCCATATTCCATTGTAGTTTGTCATTACCCTTTGTTCGCTCAGTAAATTGGTGATAGTTTGAGACATCTCGTCCACACTGGCAGCTTGAGCAGCTAGGACCAACTGTTGAAGCATCTCCACATGCTGGTGCAAAGGCTCAAAGTCACACAGTGTTGGAACCCTGGGGAAAAGAAACATGGGACTATCTTTAATCAATACGAAATGGACAGTCTCCCAGGGTTATTGCACTGAATATTGCAACAGAGAATACAGTCAAGTGTTCACAAGTAAACTAAGCATACAGGTAGTAGGCCTGTTACAAGTAGGGATGCGCATTGGAAATTATTATATTATTCAAATAATATCCTGACATTTTTTCGGATGCCCAGATAGTAGAAATTCTTTTTTTTTGCTATTGACTCTCATAATGACGCAAATGCACATGGCAGAGGTAAACAGTGGAAATGCTGCTTTTCTCAGGTAGTTTGGCTAACAGCGAAAGAGAAGTCTGATTTTCACCACGATATAACGGATTCTCTTACAAAAAGGTCTTCTGGTGAGTATTTCGCATTGATCTATGTCAGGTACTGTGGAAACTCCATTAGGTGAGCGCCTGTAATTGCTATTTGAAGTGTGGAAAAAAGCACACCGACGTCAGGGCAGACTGGAGGGTTAAATGTGCCGCAGTAGCTCAACAAACCGTTATAGAAACTACATTAACCCTTTACACTCGTGGGAATTGGCCTATATGGATAGGGCTAAATTTTTTATGTTTCTTACAGAAGAAATATGAATAGCATATGCATAGCCATAGTAGCAATTGAAAGGGAATGGTTTGGAGATTATGGGAAAATTATTAGACCAAAGGTGAGGACAACAGTTCACCTGACACAAGACTGAATCCAAACATTACACTGTTGATTTTATGTGAATTTTACATTTATGTAAGTTTCACCGCATTTGTTGATAACGAAATCTGAAAATACTATGGATACATTCCACAGCAGGTTGGTGGCACCTTAATTGGGTAGGACGGGCTCGTGGTAATGGCTGGAGCGGAATCAGTGGAATGGTATCAAATACATCAAACACATGTCTGCCATGTGCTTGATGCCATTTGATTTACGCCGGTCCAGCCATTATTATGAGCCGTCCTCCCCTCAGCAGCCTCCACTGATACATTCCGTAACATGATAAAAATGTTCCTGGAAAATGAGGGGTAGGTGCAACATTAGACAAAAAAATGACACGGGTTTGAGTGAGAGGACTAACTGGTGTCTCCAAGTGGCCACCACCTCTCCAAAGTGTGCACAGTTTCTAAGCAATTTCAATGCACTTTTATGACACACAAAAAAAGTTTGCAACTATAAGTTACTTTTTTGAGCTCTCCTAGCTGTACCGTTGAGGAACTAGAGCAAGCACACTTCTAGTTGTTTTATTTGGAACACAACCCTGCATTCCCACCTTCACACAATTACTGTTGTTTACGCAGTCCAAAAACGGTCCATTATAAATCGCAATCTGGGTCAGGTGAGCATAATTTCAAAGCTTGTTCTATTGCCAACATGGCTAGCTAAGTTATAAAATACGATATTACAGTGTTAGGCTTTCACAATGCAATGCAGGGAAACAGATTATAATTTTGGTGCGCATAGAAAGGAGTGATGAGTGCATTCAGGTACATGTGCAGGAGAGAATTTTCTTTACAGTAGACAAACAGGCTCATTCTGTTCAGAACAACCAAGGGTATGACGCCATGTCATCTTGTAACTGCACATCAAACAGTGATCATAAACGTTGACCATGTATATGACATGAGTTTTTGATATGGAAATATGAAGTGCACATTTGGACTAACAGGTGTTTGGCTTGCTTGTATGACATCAAAGCTGTATTTGCTATAATCCTCAACGTCTAATCTTTCAAAATACATCCTGTTAATTTACAGCATTTCCCAGACTAAGACAACAAAAAATTAGCAAAAGTTGCCCGATTAGCAGGAGGGATGGAGGCAACTTCTTGTCGCGCGAGGTGCTCAAGTTCAGAACAGCTGTCAGTCAAAGTCCATAGAGCACTGTGAAGTGCAGAGCTCTGACGTCATGTATAGCATGTTACTGTACAGCCACTGCGTTCCAATTTAGGCGTTTATCAGTGCCCAAATCTGCCATTTTCAATCTGTATATGGGTATGAGTGTAAAGGGTTAAACGTTTGTTTTATTAAATTTAGAATTTAAAATGTCATGGTATATCCTTGTAGGTAAAAATGTCACACGGATAATTTAGATTAGACAACGTTTTTCATTGTTATAATAGGCCTACAGTTGTTTTTCTCCAAAAAAGAACACTTGCTCAAGTATACTCCCGAGTGGCGCAGTGGTCTAAGGCACTGCATCGCAGTGCTAGCTGTGCCACTAGAGATCCTGGTTCGAATCCAGGCTCTGTCGTAGCCGGCCGTGACCGGGAGACCCATGGGGCGGCGCACAATTGGCCCAGCGTTGTCCAGGGTAGGGGAGGGAATGGCCGGCAGGGATGTAGCTCAGTTGGTAGAGCATGGTGTTTGCAACGCCAGGGTTGTGGGTTCGATTCCAGTATAAAAAATAATAAAAATGTATGCACTAACTGTAAGTCGCTCTGGATAAGAGCGTCTGCTAAATGACTTAAATGTAAATGTAAATGTAATCGAATACCAACATCCGTTCGGATATTCAATTAACCGTCCCAAGTTCCAAGACATGGTTATTTCTTTACTATGTACGTGAAGGAAACCATGGCCTACCTGAGGAAAGGCTGCACCTCTGTAGGACAACAGGTCTTTAAGTACTGCAGGTCACCAAGGGAAATATCTGGAAGCTCAAAGTCAAACTTTCTTGGCTTTCGTGTCTACACAATAAAAGAAAGATAGACAACAAAAACAAGAGAGAAATGTGTCGGATTATAATATTTTGGAAATGAAATGGATGTTCATCGAACACAGCAAATGACTGACTACTTACGCAAAATGAAGTGGGGGGCCATGAGTCAAGTCCTCTAAACAATCGATTTCGGAGAAAAGATTTCCCTGCAAAGAGGATCACATAGCATTATGTCTGCTCATTGGTTGGTTTGAATTTATGTATGTTAATTTCAGAGGGGATACTCGTAAAAGATCACCAAATAGGAGTTTTAAAAAATAATGGAACTTACTGAATAACTTGCCAAACGTTTCCCTTTTATACTTCTCAGTCTCATAGAGATGCTTTCCATCCTTCACGAGAGCACAGGCCCACTGAGGAGAGATAACAGCAGAATTTAGACAGTTTTTCCTCCAATTGTTTGAGTTCCTTGTATATCAGTAGGTCTGGCTGGAGGTTGAGGCTTGTGTTACAGTAGGTCTTCAAGTAGGGACTGAAGAGAGACTTGGGTTGGCTTTGAGTTTTGAAAAGGGGTCATGTGCTCTGACTGACCTCTCTGTAGTGGCCTATGAAGAGCTTCCTGCGGACCACCTCCACTACAGCCAGGCAGTACATCTGAGGCACGGTGCTGAGGGCGTCCACCACCCGGACCCTCTCCCTCAGCTCTGTCAACAGCCTCAGCAGGGCCTGCAGCTTCTCCCCATCCTGGTCTGCGTGCAGCATCACGTAGCAGCACCATCTACATTCACAGTGGTTAGGGTCAGTGTTAGCTTAGCTTGCATATATAGAAAAGTGATTTACATGGCTTGTATGTGACCAGTTATGGTGAATTTATTGGAGTGATTTTGGTTCGTTGCATTGCTCAAAAGGAATAAAGATGCACCAAGAGAGCCACAGAAAAAATAAAATGAGAGAAATGAACAGATGCCTTACTTGAGACGAACTTGTAGGTTGTTCGCCAGCTCCTGTTTGGCAGTGGTGCACTTCTGTTTGATGTCCAACAGCTTCCTGTGGTTGGTCAGCATGATCATCAGCTGGTTGGCATGACTGAGACACAGGTCAGGCAGCACGGACGTATCCTTCAGGTTCTCAGCACGCTTCTGATTGGCCAGAAATCCCTAACAGCCAATAGATTGACAGGTGAGTTGAGTTGTATTTATTTCATTCACACATTTTCAGCTAGAAGCTGGATTGCATTATACAGTACATAATACGGTATGTGAATGAATAGGCACATTTTATACAGTGTGTTATTCACCATTGATATTACATCATTTAGATCACACTATTTTGCTTACCTGAGCAAGTTCCTTCTGTTCATTGACCAACTTTTTACAGCTCGCTATCATTTGGTCTAGAGCGTATAACCTGTCCTCAAGTCCTTTGATGGCTTTCATGTTCTGATTATCCAGTTTGGCAATCGTGTCTCGACATTCCACCAAGAATGGTTGAATGACACGTGGGTCGAGCTGAAATAGAAAGGACGTTTACATTATGGTTCCATTTTGTCTGTGTTTCTTTGCACTTTACAACCAAGACATATCACCGAATAGACTATCATAAATGAATTTACACCCACTGTTTAGTAGTCATGGCAAGGCCACTGACAGAGACCAATTCAGCCACACAGAAACAAAGAGAAAAACACAATAGAGAAGACAGACACAAACATACAACAGCGACTCACCCTATTGATGGAGTCAAAGCATTTCCTCACGACTGACTCCACGTCATTGGGCCTGTCTTGAACGTTGATCCAGTCCAGCAGTGTGACGTTAAAGGACAGGGGGTTTGCCCTCTCTGGAGAGTCTGCCTCCTGCAGGGCTGTCCTCAGCCCACTACTGTTCGTCATCTCACTGCTTTCCTGGTCTTCGGCGGTGTCGGGCGAGCCCCCCGCCCCCGGAGCAGAGAACGATGCAGGGAGCTTGGTGGGGGTGGGGCAGAGCACCGAGTCGGTGGACTTCTCCTCCTCCTCTGTCTCGTCAGAGTCCTTGTTTGGAGTGGAGCAGGACTTCTCTATGCATTCTTTGTAGCTGTGGCGGGTCAGACACTCCAGCAGGGGGATCTTGGCCATGACTGAAACTGCTGTCCCCAGTCTAAAAAAGTACATGCCAAATGTCAGTTTACACCCATAGAATTTAGATTGACATCTTTGGATACAGCTCACATGTGGCACAGTCTTTGGATACAGATTAATGAAGGGAAGTGTGGCACAGAGGAGATAGAGAGAGATAAGGGGGAGAGGGAGAATGGAAGAGAGAAATAGAAAAGGAAACTTAATTAGCTGACAATTCAAAACGTGCCAGTGTGGTACGCCACACACATGCAAAAATCTCTAACCTGATACGGCACATTATCTGCGAGAAATATTTATTTAACCTGAATAATTAATTGAAATTGAACCTATTGCCTATACTGTCACAGTAGGACAATCCATCCATCTACTCGTTTCATTCATAACCACCCCCTTTCAATTGCATTGGACTTAATATTTATGCAGGGGGTCACTTACTTTGTCAGTTTCAATTTGATGTCCTCAAAGTCTTGTTGATAATTAATGTACGCCGTGTCAAATTGCCACAGTAGCTTCTGATAAGACAGGGTACAGTCATCCAGGTTTGCCATGATAGCAGCCCAACCTTGGTGTTGGAGGTGTTCATCGTGAACCAGGCGTTCGCAGAAAGAGCAAAGTTTCTTGGCGACTTCAAACATTTCCTGGAGAAGCATAAGAAAGGTATTCAGAAGTTAGAACACACTAGAAATGCCAAAACAATCATACGTTTCATTAGCTTTCCTTATTTGAATACATTGAGAACATTACATTTTCATATCCTATTTTAATGTTGTAGCATGGTGACACATGGTACAGCAACATCGATGGCTTATTTTGAGAAAGTAGTAAGTGGACCAGAAACAAACAAAACATTTACCACAGCAAGTTGTGTTCGCGAGGCAACGGTGTGAAAGACTGCTGGCATCATTAATGACTCCTCCACCTTGAGCTCCATCTCATTCTCAATAGAGAAGGTGGTTTTAAGGATCGTCGGAGCCCGGTCACACAAAATCATCTCTTTGTTGAACAGGAATATGGGGTTGGTGTCCTGGGCAACAAAAACACAATCTGTCAAGACTCTTGAGCTGAACACATCTAGAATAATAATGATCTTTTTTTTTCCTCAACGTCTTGCACAGTGGCTTCAGAAAACTGTCACCAATAATTTTTTAAGTCAAAACCACTTCCTTTATAAGACACAATCATTACAAAAAACAAACAATAATTACAAATGGTGCAAACTTACAGTGCCAGCACTGTAGCTGCAGACTCGCCTCTCTGCAACCATACACTCCCCTCCATTGACAACCAGGACTTGATGCTGGGTTGCAATCTTGTATTTGACCTGGATGGCATGTTTGAGGTCCAACACTCTGCAAGAACACAGGTAGGCTATATGATCAAATTCAGAAAACTTTTTGATTTCAGCATAAATGAAATGTTCTGTTTAGACTGAGATCAGTAGAAAATGGCTAAAGGTAATCTGAAAGATTAAATGGGTCTTACGTTTGGACAGCAAGCTCTGTGTCAAATGTCAGAGTGCTTCCATTGTTGACCTGGAACACATACAACTTCATGTTGAATCCTCCAGCGAACTTCACACTCCTTTAGCTTGATCATTTAGTCATTCAACACCACCCTGTGTAAGACAAAAAAGGTACAATAAGTATTGACTTTTGGTTGTGACTGTTTACTATTCCCTACTGGAAGCTACAAGGTCCACCAAATGCATTTATTGACACATAAACCACAGCAACTTACGTTAATTGGCCTGTATCACATAAGGCTAATCCAAAACATATAAATGAAATACAAAACAATCAAGCCTACTTGCTACAAAAGACTTGATTAATTTGCCATTTACCTAACTGTCATGTAACTTCTAGCTACATGAGATTGTATACACGTGTTTTAGCAATGTATTTCAATATTTTCAAAGGTGAGAACTGAAAAGCAGCCACACACGTGGGGCTTCTAGCCGAAACTAGTTATTTGAACTCAACCATATATTTTTTACTCCAATTTTAGAGCAGCTGGCTAGTTGTAACGTCAATATATAGACGTTACTGCTTTGCCCAGCAAAATGATTATCATCCGAAATGTAAATGGACACACTCACTATATTGTAGGCAGTTAAGTGCTGTAACTAACGTTACAGGCTGAGTCATGTTGGCTATTAAATTAGCTAGGTAACAAGCTAACAAAAGCTAACGTCGGCGAAACAGCATTCTAACGTTAGCTGTTCACGTCGTAAACAAGAACGCCGGTCTCACCTTGAAACTTGGCTAGACACTGTCACAAGTAATGGCTAGCTGACAGCTAAATTATATATTTTAATGACATATTGTGTTGTGGTTTGGACGGCCCAACACAACACACACAAAAGTATTGGGGACATACGCCCTGGGTCAATGAACGCGCTGTGGCAATCTAACGTTCGTTAGCTAGTTAGCAAATGTGGCAAGTACCTGCGGGGATAGCTAACGTTTGCTAAATGGTATGTCTACATTTGAAACATGACCATATGGCTCTCTGACGATCAGCTACGAGGCCTTACTTGACACTGTCGGTGGCTAGAAAGCTTTAGTTCGCTAGTACATTATGCGCTTGCGTAACTGTTAACGTTAGACCATTAGCTAGCTAGTAGCTAGCCAGCTAACTAACGTTAGCTAGATGGACAAAGGAAAGAAGACAAAGGGACATGCAAATGTAACATACATTGATTAATATCGACATAACTAGCTGGTTAACGAAGTAGTTAATACATGTATTGTTTAAATCCCGTTGTTTCCTCTGACGGTTTTTTAATAGCAGGCTAGCCTAACGCAGTTTCTCAACAACTTAGTTAGTTAGTTTAGCTAACGTTGGCTAGTTAGCCATATATTTCTGCAAGTTTACACCCATGACAGTGAAGGGGTCCGTATTTACAGAAATGTAATGTTATAGGACTGACATGTCTAGCAATAAGAAACTCTTCTTACCGTTGTTGTTTACCCCAATCCTCTCCTCCGCCTTGGCGAGCTAGCTGGCTAACTTGGTTTAGCTTGACTGGCATAGCGCTAACGCTAGCTAGTTTTAGAAAGCTAACCGAAAATGTTGTTAGTTAGCTATGTGGTATGATTATCTAGTCTTTAATGTAGCTGACTCAATCTTAGTTTTTACGATCGATTCATATTGCTATCTACACATTTTCATGGGTTCTCAATTCGCTTGTCACTGATCTCTTTTCTTCGCCAAGGATTGTGTAACACCAGTGAATGTTTATTTCAAGTAGCTAGCAAGCTAACACCCTATTCTGCAGCTAGCTGTGTTTTGTTGTTGTGCTTATCGTCACTGCACAGCGAGGTGCATTCTGGGAGAGGAAAAAGTAATGACCATGTTTTGCTGCAACATGAAAAGGGGTGTGGTTTGTCCATATACAGTAGAGAAGGGCCCACAATAGTACAAAATATACAATAGTATCTTTGAGGGACCTTTATTAATTAATTACCCCACCAAATTGAACGACACACATATGGCATTGTATGTAGAGATTGAAGCACTCTCTACCTCTAATACACATTATACTTGAAACCAGATATACAGTGGGGAGAACAAGTATTTGATACACTGCCGATTTTGCAGGTTTTCCTACTTACAAAGCATGTAGAGGTCTGTAATTTTTATCATAGGTACACTTCAACTGTGAGAGACGGAATCTAAAACAAAAATCCAGAAAATCACATTGTATGATTTTTAAGTAATTAATTTGCATTTTATTGCATGACATAAGTATTTGATCACCTACCAACCAGTAAGAATTCCGGCTCTCACCGACCTGTTAGTTTTTCTTTAAGAAGCCCTACTGTTCTCCACTCATTACCTGTATTAACTGCACCTGTTTGAACTCGTTACCTGTATAAAAGACACATGTCCACACACTCAATCAAACAGACTCCAACCTCTCCACAATGGCCAAGACCAGAGAGCTGTGTAAGGACATCAGGGATAAAATTGTAGACCTGCACAAGGCTGGGATGGGCTACAGGACAATAGGCAAGCAGCTTGGTGAGAAGGCAACAACTGTTGGCGTAATTATTAGAAAATGGAAGAAGTTCAAGATGACGGTCAATCACCCTCGGTCTGGGGCTCCATGCAAGATCTCATCTCGTGGGGCATCAATGATCATGAGGAAGGTGAGGGATCAGCCCAGAACTACATGGCAGGACCTGGTCAATGACCTGAAGAGAGCTGGGACCACAGTCTCAAAGAATACCATTAGTAACACACTACGCCGTCATGGATTAAAATCCTGCAGCGCACGGAAGGTCCCCCTGCTCAAGCCAGCGCATGTCCAGGCCCGTCTGAAGTTTGCCAATGACCATCTGGATGATCCAGAGGAGGAATGGGAGAAGGTCATGTGGTCTGATGAGACATAAATAGAGCTTTTTGGTCTAAACTCCACTCGCCGTGTTTGGAGGAAGAAGAAGGATGAGTACAACCCCAAGAACACCATCCCAACCGTGAAGTATGGAGGTGGAAACATCATTCTTTGGGGATGCTTTTCTGCAAAGGGGACAGGACGACTGCACCGTATTGAGGGGAGGATGGATGGGGCCATGTATCGCGAGATCTTGGCCAACAACCTCCTTCCCTCAGTAAGAGCATTGAAGATGGGTCGTGGCTGGGTCTTCCAGCATGACAACGACCCGAAACACACAGCCAGGGCAACTAAGGAGTGGCTCCGTAAGAAGCATATCAAGGTCCTGGAGTGGCCTAACCAGTCTCCAGACCTGAACCCAATAGAAAATCTTTGGAGGGAGCTGAAAGTCCGTATTTCCCAGCGACAGCCCCAAAACCTGAAGGATCTGGAGAAGGTCTGTATGCAGGAGTGGGCCAAAATCCCTGCTACAGTGTGTGCAAACCTTGTCAAGACCTACAGGAAACATATGATCTCTGTAATTGCAAACAAAGGTTTCTGTACCAAATATTAAGTTCTGCTTTTCTGATGTATCAAATACTTATGTCATGCAATAAAATGCAAATTAATTACTTAAAAATCATACAATGTGATTTTCTGGATTTTTGTTTTAGATTCCGTCTCTCACAAGTGAAGTGTACCTATGATAAAAATTACAGACCTCTACATGCTTTGTAAGTAGGGAAACCTGCAAAATCGGCAGTGTATCAAATACTTGTTCTCCCCACTGTACATGCAGCATTAGCATGCATGAAAAAAAAATGCAACACTTCAAAATCATATTGAAACATGGCAGGCATGTCATTGGATTCAGAGGTCCACAGTCTTTCCTGGAGTGTAATTGCAATCAACCTTTCAAGTAGTAAAGCATTGGCTATCAGAATCACCTTAATTCACCAATGGGCCTATGTACCAAGAATTTGACCAGGTGAAATGGTGCTGACCACAACAATCATAATATACAGACAAAATATAAAGAATTTTCACAAAATACACATACAGTGTACAAAATCAGAAGTACACACAATTGTAAAGAAATAATAAAAATAAATTAACCCCATCCTCTTCACATGGCGTCGTATGGGCGAGCGGTTTGCTGATGTCAACGTTGTGAACAGAGTGCCCCATGGTGACGGTGGGGTTATGGTATGGGCAGGCATAAGATACGGATAACAAACACAATTGCATTTTATCGATGGCAATTTGAATGCACAGAGATACCGTGACGAGATCCTGAGGCCCATTGTTGTGCCATTCATCCGCCGCCATCACCTCATGTTTCAGCATGAAAATGCACGGCACCATGTTGCAAGGATCTGTCCACAATTTCTGGAAGCTGAAAATGTCCCAGTTCTTCCATGGCCTGCATACTCACCAGACATGTCACCCATTGAGCATGTTTGGGATGCTCTGGATCGACGTGTACGACAGCGTGTTCCAGTTCCCGCCAATATCCAGCAACTTCGCACAGCCATTGAAGAGGAGTGGGACAACATTCCACAGGCCACAATCAACAGCCTGATCACCTTTATGAGAAGGAGATGTGTCACGCTGCATGAGGCAAATGGTGGCAACTCCAGAACCTCCCGAGTGGCGCAGCAGTCTAAGGCACTGCATCTCAGTGCTAGAGGCGTCATTATAGACCCTGGTTCGTTTCCAGGCTGTATCACAATCCGGCCGTTATTGGGAGTCCCATTGGCCGGCGCACAATTGGCCCAGCGTCGTCCGAGTTTGGCCTGGGTAGGCCGTCATTGTAAATAAGAATTTGTTCTTAACTGACTTGCCTAGTTAAATAAAAAATACTGACTGGTTTTCTGATCCATGCCTCTGTAACAGTTTTGCTTCCGTCCCTCTCCTCGCCCCTACCTGGGCTTGAACCAGGGACCCTCTGCACACATCGACAACAGTCACCCTCGAAGCACCGTTACCCGTCGCTCCACAAAAGCCGCGGCCCTTGCAGAGCAAGGGAAACAACTACTTCAAGGTCTCAGAGCGAGTGACGTCACCGATTGAAACACTACTAGTGCGCACCGCTAACTAGCTAGCCATTTCACACCGGTTACACTTCTACCTTTTTCTTAAAGGTATCTGTGACCAACAGATGCATATCTGTATTTACATTCTCATGTGAAATCCATAGATTAGGGCCTAATTTATTTATTTCGATTGACTGATGTCCTCATATGAACTGTAACTCAATAAAATCGTAGAAATTGTTGCATGTTGCGTTTATATTTTTGTTCAGTGTACGTACATACATACATACATACATATATACACAAACACTACCAGTCAAAAGTTTTAGAACACCTACTCATTCAAGGGTTTTTCATTATTTTTTTTACTATTTTCTACATTGTAAAATTATAGTGAAGACATCAAAACTATGAAATAACACATATGGAATGTAGTAACCAAAAAAGTGTTCAACAAATCAAAATATATTTTATATTTGAGATTCTTCAAATAGCCACCCTTTGCCTTGATGACAGCTTTGCACACGCTTGGCATTCTCTCAACCAGCTTCATGAGGTAATCACCTGGAATGCATTTAAATTAACAGGTGTGCCTTCTTAAAAGTTCATTTGTAGAATTTCTTTCCTTCTTAATGCGCTTGAGCCAATCAGTTGTGTTGTGAGAAGGTAGGGGGGTATACAAAAGTTAGCCCTATTTGGTAAAGACCATGTCCATATTATGGCAAGAACAGCTCAAATAAGTAAAGAGAAATGACAGTCCATCATTACTTTAAGACATGAAGGTCAGTCAATACGGAACATTTCAAGACCTTTGCAGTCGCAAAAACCATCATGCGCTATGATGAAACTGGCTCTCATGAGGATCGCCACAGGAATGGAAGACCCAGTTACATCTGCTGCAGAGGATAAGTTCATTAGAGTTACCAGCCTCAGAAATTGCAGCCCAAATAAATGCTTCATAGAGTTCAAGTAACAGACACATCTCAACATCAACTGTTCAGAGGGGACTGTGTGAATCAGGCCTTCATGGTCGAATTGCTGCAAAGAAACCACTAGTAAAGTTCACCAATAAGAAGAAGATACCTGCTTGGGCCAAGAAACACGAGCAATGGACATTAGACCGGTGGAAATTTGTCCTTTGGTCTGGAGTCCAAATTGGAGATTTTTGGTTCCAACCGCCGTGTCTTTGTGAGACGCGGTGTGGGTGAACGGATGATCTCCGCATGTGTATTTCCCACTGTAAAGCATGGAGGAGGAGGTGTTATGGTGTGGGGGTGCTTTGCTGGTGACACTGTCCGTGATTTATTTATAATTCAAGGCACACTTAACCAGCATGGCTACCACAGCGATATGCCATCCCATCTGGTTTGGGCTTAGTGGGACTATCCTTTGTTTTTTCAACAGGATAATGACCCAACTCACCTCCAGGCTGTGTAAGGGCTATTTTACCAAGAAGGAGAGTGATGGAGTGCTGCATCAGATGACCTGGCCTCCACAATACACCGACCTCAACCAAATTGAGTTGGTTTGGGATGAGTCGGACCGCAGACTGAAGGAAAAGCAGCCAACAATTGCTCAGCATATGTGGGAACTCCTTCAAGACTGTTGGAAAAGCATTCCAGGTGAAGCTGGTTGAGAGAATGCCAAGAGCGTGCAAAGCTGTCATCAAGGCAAAGGGTGGCTGTTTAAAGAATCTCAAATATAAAATATATTTTGATTTGTTTAACACTTTTTTGGTTACACATGATTCCATATGTTTATTTCATAGTTTTGATGTCTTCACTATTATTCTAAAATGTACAAAATAGTAAAAATAAGAAAACCTTGAATGAGTATTTTTTTGGGGCTGTCGCGGGGCAACCATACTTCAACTCCCTCCAAAGATTTTTTGGGGTTGAGCTGGAGACTGGTAG